ATAGATATTGGAACTACTACACTGCTACTATTATGTTTATTACTAAAATTTGGGAAGATATTTGGGGAAGATAATCTATGCGAATCAAATGTATTATATTGAGAAGTTACTTCTTGGAATGACTTGGTGTGGTGTGTGTTGGTTTTTTTGGAACAACCCCTTTCCCTTTCCGACTGGAAGATGGGTTTGGGTGACTTGACGTGGTTGGACCAGTGACTTCGTTTGATGTAACGGTTTGATTCCCTGATGGGGGTGTGGACGGAGAAACGCTCAGGGGACGGACCTCCGATCGTTCGTTTCCCGAACACTTAAGACAATTTCGTTTGAGGGTATTTTCCCTACCACAACCGTGGCAGAAAATACGGGTACGAGGGATGCCGCAATCATAAAAAGTATGGCCAGACTCACGACAATTCCAGCATACTACAGAACTTAATGTGGAAATATTACGTTCATGACCTTTTGATTGCCAAGATCGGTGTTTGGAAGTATCTAGGTGACGTGAAGAGTTAAAAGAAGAGGGTCGAGAAGTGGAAGGAAGGTGAGAAGACCAAGATAAAGTTTCTTCTAAACGTTTACACTTCTCCGTAATATCAGCTATACTAGTGATATCTACAAGGGCCAAGTGCTGATGATAGAATGGCAATAGACATTTGAGGATAATCTTAATCTTTGCAGAATCTGTCAGAGGTGTTTCAAGGCGACTACACATACCTAAAATAGTATTAATGAACATCGTAACAGACTCGTCTGGCTTCTGTTTACGATTTTTAATTTGATCTAAAAGGTCGTCTTGAAAAGAGTAAGGTAGAAAATCAGACTTAAGTTTCTAAGCTAGATCGGACCAATTTGAAAAGTTAGTGCGGTTATTCATAAACCATGTAAAAGCTGCACCTAAAAACAATTCTGCAGACGCTGCGAAGAGATCCTCCTCACTCACTCCTCTCGATACACGAAGACATTCCACCCTATCCAAAAAGGAAATAACCTGGTCATAATGACCTTCACCAGAAAATGTAATGCCCCATTTATGTACCTGAACAGGTTTGGGGTGAAGAAATGAATTAGCTGCTTGGACTGAAGAAATAGGGGTTGAAGTAGCAATTGGATTCACTCGTGAATCAAGTTCACCCTCTATGCTGAGAATTCGGATTGAAATAGAGCGTTTGTAAGTTTGCTGCTCCTCATTCGAACAAGACAATAAATGAATACGGCCTGAGACATGGGCTAGACGTGATATTAGCCTGGAGTATAGGCTATCTTGGACAGTCCCTCTAAAATCGGATATCCTTTTAGCCAAATCATCCATAGTCTCATCAATCTCTTCTTGTTGTTCCAAAAAGGGAATACTGGTGGCAGAAATTTGTCGAAAGCTCCTATTTCCTTCTTCTTGCCTTAGAGCTCCACGCAATATTTTGCGTTTAAGATCAACATTGGAAGACTAATCAATATTGATGTCCCTAATCCTTAACTCATAATCCAATTCCTTCACTAACAAATGTTCTACCTTGAATGCAGACATTATGAAAATAAATAAATAGATGAATAGGTAGAATCGACAAGGAAATAATATACTCACACTCCACAAAATCAACCGAATAATAATATAAAGTTTTCAAAAAAAAAAAAATAAATAAATATGTACCAACACACCACAAAATCAATCCAAGAATAATCTAAGGTTATTCACAAAAATTTTAAAATGGTTAAGTAAATATGCAATAAAGTATAAGTAAATAAGTTATAACACAATCCTTGAAGCAACACACAATGGTTTCAACAAGTATATGGTTACCAAATAATTGAATATAAAAAAAAACCCACCAATATTGGCTAATATATATATAGTAATATCTAGATTAATAAATTTTTAAAGTTCAATAATAGTAAGATAGATAGTTAACTGTACACAATGAGATTAAAAGGTGAGGGTTTAAATATGAATATAAGTAAACTACAGCAATACAAGTATATCTATAAATGTAAGTCTAATAAGGAAAAACAATAAATAAATAAAGGAGTTAAAAACACTATGAACAAAGAGCAACAGGAACAAATTAGAAATAATAAAGAATATTTTGCAAAGAGAAATATCCTTCAGAATGTACGGTCTGAACTGAGAAAAGGCACCACGTTGGGAACGCCAATGTAACAAAAATGTAAACCTATTGCTACACTACACATTCTTGTTATATTGGCGCTCCAGCCAATCCATTTTTGTTACATTGCCCCCACAGCCGCCTCTGAACACGTCGGCTCACTTCACGATTCCAAGACCAAGTAACGATCACACGATGTTACGGCGGAAACGAAGTAGAATTTTTACATAGAGGGCGCAACTTGCTGCCAACTTTTAGGCATAAAATTTACTGAAGTTATTTGAATTTTAAGCATATTTCAAAATGAATTTAATTTATAATTAAGTTAAAGGATTCCAGTGACAGGACAGTAAGTGGGTATTTAAGTAACGGACTCGTTACATTATCATTACGTATATACAGGGTGTTTTATTAATAATTGGAAATATTTTAACTCGTGATTCCTGGGCTAAAAATATTAAGATTTAACTGATTTACAGGGTGTTTTATTTAAGAATTTAAAAAGTATTTTTAAATTCTTAAATATTAATAATTTGAGCCCAGGAATCTAGAGTTAAAATATTTCCAATTATTAATGAAACACCCTTTATATGTATAGGTCAATTTGCTCTACTCTATTTATTCCTTTGTATTTTAGATACCAATATTAAGCCAAGAAAGAGGCAGAAAAACAAGTCCGAATGGAAAGTAAATAAAACGAAAATGCTTAAAACCCAAGGCAAAGAATACATTGGGTACAAGAACAAGCTGCATAGAGAAAGAAAATTGATGAAATTTAGTCACAGTTGTAGATATAAGTGTAGTTCAAATTTTACAGAGGAAATAAGACAAGAACTATTTGACACTTTTTACAAACTTCCGACTTATGACCACCAGACCTCATACTTGTCATCTTGCATAAAGAAAACTGAAGTGACTAGAAAAAAATCCGGCAATATAAAGCGCAAGTTTAGTACACAAATAATCCTTATGAATCAACGAGTATATAAGGAGTTTTTCTTGAAAACGTTTGATATTACCAATAGGAGATTTACAGTAGTGTGCCAAAAAACCAATAATTTACAAATGTGTGAGCCAGATAAGCGAGGGAAGGGTCCGAGTAAACGAAAAATGAGTGAAGAAAAACGTAGATTGGTAATTGAACATATAAAACAATTTCCTAAATACAGTAGTCACTATTCACGCCAAGCAAATGTAAATGCTAAATATTTAGCACCCGAACTGACCTTAAAAAAAATGTATGATCTCTACAAGGCTGATTGTGAGGCACAAAATTTTACTGCTGTAAAACTATTATGATCGGTAATCATATTACCGATTTGTTTTTAATACAGATTTCAATTTGAGATTCCATCGGCCACACTCTGATACATGTTCACGATGTGATTCATATCAAAACATTATTAAACATAACCAAGAGGAATCTAAAATTTCGGAAACAAAAAAACTGTTAGAATTGCACCAGCGAAAAGCACAAAAGGCATTGGCGTGCAAGAATGCAGATATTGAGCGTTATAAAGGGTCAGAAGATACAGTAGTTCTATGCTTCGATTTGCAACAAACCCTACCCACTCCCTTGTTGACCACATCTAAGGTATTCTATCTACGACAGCTATGGACATATAACTTTTGTGTTTATAATTTACTCAGTGGAACCCCTCATATCTTTGTATGGAATGAAAGTATTTCAGGAAGAGGTTCTCAAGAAATTGGATCTTGTTTATTCAAGGTAGTACCGCAATATTTTGCTATTTTTACTCATTTATATTTTTTTATTTTTATTTTAGTTTATCACAATGCTACCACCAAACATAAAAAGAGTTATTGCTTATAGTGATTCTTGTGGTGGGCAAAACAAGAATAAAAATATCTGTAAATTATTCATGTTTTTGGTAAAAGCAACTCAAATAGAAGAAATTAGTCATAAATTTCTTGAACCTGGGCACACCTATATGGAATGCGATAGGGCTTTTGGACTAATTGAAAAATCGAAAAGAAAAAATCCTCAAGTATTTTTACCAGACCATTGGATAGACGTGATAAAAAGCTCATCAAAGCGTTTTATTGTACATTCCATGAGACAAGAAGATTTTTTGTCTTATTCAAAACTTAATAAAATTGTCAATGATCCCAAACGAGACTGTGAGAACCAAAGTATTAAATTTCGGGATATACAGTATTTTAGATATAATAGCACCGAAGAGCCCTTTTCATTCTTTTTTAAATCCACCTTGGATGAGGAATTTCCTTTCTATCAGTGCATTTGTAAGATGATGTCCTCTGGTCGCCCATCTTTTGACAGCAAACTTATATTATTTTGCAGTACAAATAACTGCAAGAAAATTAACATAAAGAAATGGAAGAATTTACAGACTCTTCTTGAATTTATTCCTCCTATTTATCATTATTTTTATACATCAATGCAGTATGAATCGAATACAGCGAAAAATAAAAGAAGAGCTGTACAAATTACAGAAGCACCAGAGTTTTCTTAATTTCCTGATGATGATGATAATACAATATTATCCTCTGATGATGATTAAAATGTTATTCATACCAGTCTGGAAATGAACAGTTTAATTTTCAAATATGTACTTTTATTTAGAATAAAAACGGTATAAGTACATTTTTTTCAATAAAATTTTTTTTTTCTACTACTTTTTATTTTTACATTTGGAACCAAAAAATAAGCTCCTTACAAAATTGATGTGAGCATCATACTTTACCTAAATTATTTTAGTAATTTACAGTGATGAAATAACTTTAAGTCCAATTATCTCAAAACAAGGTTTAATGCACTTCTACCGTTTTTATTCCAAACCCTTCAATTTTAATTCAATTCAATTACAACTTATGCAGTCCACAACCAATGTTTAAATTTAACCAGTGAACAGTACTTACCAATATAAATCATCGTATCATTGGTTGCAAGAAACTGCAAAATGACGCAACTTAACATCGATACCAACCCTATCAGAGCAAGTATGGAATCCTTAACATGAAACTTCCTTTGAAGAATATAACTTCCAGCCATGGTACCTGCAGCCCAAATTAACATACAAACACTATTATAAAGATTGTACTTTGTAAATGTCCAATTCAGTTTTCCACGAAGGAAGATATATCGCGTATTTGTATCTGCATGTGTTAGAAAAATGTAAATTATAATAGACGTAATTGTTAGAATGATTATGGCTCTATTATAGTTTTCCCGTTTTTTAATGGTAGTTTGAATAATTTCTTTAAATAAGTTTAACTTAGCTGGTTTTTCATTTTCGTCCTAAAACATGTACAAAATTAGTATTACCAAGTAAAAAAAATCACCGTAAAATAAGCCCACAAAAAAATATATTATTATAGGATTGTAATGTAAACATAGCAAGAAAATAAAGAGAAAAAAATAATACGGGGTAATAGCCTAGAGAAGAGTAAAAATTGGTTAAATAATTATTACATATCCCAAATTGAATAATGAACAAATAATTCGACATAGATAACGTATACATTTCAAATTAAACAAAGAATGATAACTCGACCTAGTTTAAGTGTTGCACGAGTTCAATATCAGTTTGCAACAATTGTTTAAAAGAAAAAATCACGTTTAAAAACAGAGACCTTTGTTGAAAAAATAACACCGCATGAATACTGAGTCAGCAAAAGCTCGACCTCGGAAAATGAGAATACGGGTTCATAAAAATGAAGGAAGTGAGCCAGGAGAGGCAGTAAGCGCTAGGCACCGGTAGCAATCGGGCGACCGGAGCCAGAGGTGCTCGGCGGGCAGTAGTTGCCCGGAAAGTGTGAGTCCTCGGGGGCGGTAGCGTCCAGTAATCGTCGAGTCAGTAAGTGTGGAACCGCTGGGAAGGCTCCGCGCCACAAAGCAATAAATCTATATACTAACCCAAGTAATATATAGAAACGCAGATTGTCCACCCTTTAATTTCTTGCTAAAGTCTCTTCTCGTCTCCCTTCGCGCCTGAACGAATCTTTATGGGTTATAACTGACAGCTTGTTAACTTAATGGTAGTATAAAGTCTATTTAATACATTTGTAGACTCGAAACTTGGTTTTATTGTTCCTTCCCGGCCGTTACAGGCAGAGACTAGAAGAGTACACAATTTCCGCTTATGCATTTCTTCGGCTTCTAAAGTAAGCCAATAGACTCAACTCTTTACAGGACCTGAGACCTACAAGTCCTTAACCCTTTTTCTAAACTTCCCTACCCTCCTGAACTCGCGAGGGCGAACCAGCCAATTCAGACTAGTGGGACCAGTAAGCCTTGCTCCGCTCGCAGGGATAAGCATCCTTTAAAGTTTAACCTGAGGATGTTATAGGGGTTACAGTAATTTTACTCCGCTAGTATTTCAATGGTGACAGCGGATTAACCCCGCTAGTATTACAGTGGCGACAGCGGTGTTTTCGGCCATTACAGCATGATATATTTTTCTATTATTGATGTAATACTCAATATGTACGGTATCTCTGTTTTATGATTATACAAAACAAATAAATAATAAATGAAAACACACCCATATAACTCAACAACATCCAGCTATACTCCAGCAAATAAAATACGAAATGAGTTACACGCGTGATTACTAAGTTTATAGTATCGTTTAGCTGTCGCTATGTTTTACCAATAAGCTTGTTAGTAGCGGATAATTTATTTTTTATTTAGCGTATGGCATACAATAAGAGAACGTAATTAAAACCAATAGAACACGTTAAATGAAGTCTAACAAACGAACATCTAATTTATCAATATCATCTAAATATTTTCGGTCGTATTCTGGAATTCCATTTTTCTAGTTTTTCTTGCTGTTCTATATTACCCTCATTATCTCTTCACTTCTTTGGTTTGTCTTTTTGCTTTTGTTCAGTTCCTGGTAAAATTTTATGTATCTGTTGGATTACTTAGTTCTTGTTATTCTTGAAGTTCTTTGTTCATATTTTCTTACTTCTTTCTGCGGTGGATTTTTTCGTTACTTCTTTACGTAGTTATTTATATTTCTCCTCTGCTTTTTGGGTTCTGTGTCGCGGTTGCATGAATAAATTTGCTCTGATTTTTTTTCTGTTATAATCTGAACATTATTAGTCAAACCAGTCATTCGTTCTTGTCTCCGTTGTTTACCTTCCATGCCTAGTAATTCTTCAGCAGCTTCTTTTATGATGTTTCTGCATCCTTTCCACTTTTGATTTAAGCTTTTATGTTTTAATCTGTTTCTAGTTTGATATTTCTATTTTGTTTATATTTTTTATTTTTGTTGATATCTTTGAGTCATTTTAGATTGTATCGTTCATATTTGGAACCTATTTTCGTTTTTATGTTTAAGATTCTGCCCCTTACCCTACTTTAGACCCTGTAGTGATATTAATCATTAACTCATATCATATGATTCATATCATAACTGATATGAATCATCACTAGAATATAAAACTACTTTGAGAAATAAACTTCGAATCTTGATAATCGCCTTTCGTTCTGTTTACTGCCGAATACGTGGGACCAATTGCGGGGAAGATTGTATTTGTAACAATATGATTCATAAAAACTTATTTTATAAACTAGTTCTAATGTTTTATTTGTATTATTATAAGCACAAATATAATATTCTATTGTTCGAATGTAAAGTGAACACCAAGAAAACATATTTTCTTACGCGCCGACAATGATAGAATTCAAAATTTCCGACCATTCATGATTGTCACGTGATTTCGGCCATTTTCGACCATTTATGACGCGTGATGTTTGATAACTAATTTTATTTTTTGTTTGCTAGAGTATAGTCTTTAATGGAAAAACAAAGGCACATATAGATCTATCGCCTGGGGAGGAGATTCAAATTTGGTTTTATGTCTTTTGAGTCAAAATGATGGAGATCAGTCACTTCCGGGTTCAAGAAAACTCCATAATAAGTTACCTCACTCACAATACTGATGTGTCTTTCTGAAACTAGGTCTAAAAATATCGATTATTATATGTGACCTTGATAGAGCTTTAATAAAGGTAATGAAAATAAATGAATTACATGCTTAAAAATTACCAAAACTTAGATTTCAACAAAAATCAGCAGTTGGGATCGCTTTAGAAAAAGTACCATCTCGGCTGCAAAAAAAAACAGAATTATTACATAACCAAGTCCCAAGAATTTGGAAATAGCTGATGCGGTGCTATCGCTTTATAATAAAGAAGAAAATAAAATGGGAACATACAACTGAAAATCGAGTTTAGATATTATGGTAGAAAGGTTTGGATTTTGCTGAGGAAAATTAGTGGTGGTACAAAACTAGTAAATACCAAAACAAGCTCAGTTACTCCTGATCAAATACCTACCAGAATAGCAAGCTTATTTCAGCCTCCATTTCATAAAACACGTACTATGAAAGTTAAACAGTAACTTAAACTTCTCAAAAGGAAAAAGATATAAATAGTATTTCGCTGACTTTTAGCGGGGAAGATGTTACAACGTCAATCAAAGATTTAAAATTAGGTAAACCCTCGGATTTTATGGACTAAATAACACACTTTTAGGTAATATGAGATCCAAAGAATCCAATAAGGAAAAGATAATGACGTTTACTATATATTTTCTTTTTATGTTATTAACTTATGACTTACTTCAGTATTTGGTATTAATTTCCTTGAGTCCTGCAGATTTTCTATAGATTCTGGTACACAAATTATTGTATAAGCTATACCAATCGATATACACGCCAAACCAATCGCAAAAATTGATGGATAATTGGTGGCGTAAAATATATGGGAACTTGAAATACTTCCTAGCAGAGAACCAATTGATAAAGCCACTTCAGAAAAGGCCATTCTAAAATAAAGGAAAATATTTTATTGAATACTAGCTGACCCGTCCAAATTCGTATCGCCTTAAAATTAAATAATGTATTAATGTTCAATAAGCTTCTCTTTCGAATCTGTTAAGTAAAAGAAATCGCTGGGCAATGAAATGCCCAGAACACAAATGCACTTTGATTTTATTGCAAAAACACTCGCATATTGTTTGGATGATGTTAGGCATGCATTTAGTTCGTCCGCAGCAGTTAATTGGAGTATACTGATTAAATAAGAAACAGTCTGAAAATTGAATCATAGCTCCAACAAAAATCTTTTTGATCGTCACGAGTATCCTACAAAGTTCTGCTCAGTCTCTGTAGTGACCTATAGATAATTTTTTTTATTTTACTTTGAACTTTTCTGATCCTGGCAAAATGTACGCTTTAAAAAAATCACAGATTCTTCGTCTTCTTCCAACTCGGAATTAGAATATTCGTCCAGGCAGTCAGCTGAGGATTACAGACTAGTAAAGCACGTGCGTTGATTCTTGGTTCTTGGTAACGTCGTGCCGATATTGGTAGTAAATTACTTGTAGGTCTATCCCTATATCTTATTAATAAATCCACACACAGACAATTGGTATGTTCATTGTTTGTTTATAGTATAATAAACTATATTGGATTTAAACCAGATATTTCTCATCCATTGTACATTTAGCCAAGTAAAATTGCCTTAAATATCAGTTTAAATAGAAGTAAAAAAAGTACTTATGCAGGACTCGTTTCTACAACTAAAGATCATAATCAGAGCGCTCTCTCGCTCAGCCAAAACTTCATCTGACAACCACTACCAAAAGTTTGTATTTATTTGAACTTGGCCAAAAATTTATTATCAACCCGGTTACAAGCCTAGTAAATTCCGACATCGTCTTAATTAAGACGATTTTTGGTTAAATACCAGTATTCTATAAGCGTCTATACTCGTTGCTTATACCAAACAAGTAATTAATAGAAATGAACGTAGCCAGTTAGACTTACACATTGCTATAATAACATTCGGATATACAATTCATTGGAGTGAGGAAGATTGATCCGTGTAAATCAGGGACCACTCCATCCCGCCTCAATGTTTCAAACCGTCCTCCACCTCGCCCCATATCACGCTGATGCACTATTAAGGCTTCAATCGACAAAATGCTTTGATGAGAAATCATGCAGAGAAATGCACTTGAAAACTCCACCATAACACTGAATACTAAGTCCATTGAAAGAGTGAGTAAATTTAAATACCTAGGATCGTGGCTTTTTGAAGACTGGGCATCGGACAGGGAAGTAAAATGTCGCATTGGGCAAGCTCGACAAGCTTTCGTAAAATTGAAGAAGGTACTGACTTGTTCAGAGTTCGATCTTCAACTGAGACTAAGGTTTACTAAGTGCTACGTATGGTCAGTGCTGCTATATGGCGTAGAGGGCTGGACTCTCAAAACGAGGGAT